CTACTAAAACAAGACTGCCAGACTAGGTAAAGGATAATAAGCAGCGATTTTCCACACCCGCTGGAGATCCAGTCGAAATACAACAGAGCTCTGGCAATACGCTGTTCTCCAACAGAACTGTTGACTATGTGCAACACTGCCACCGTGGTCCAGTTTACACTGCTCGTATGTATCCCTTCCACTTGCATGTGAAAATCACATATAAGACCTCTTGCAAAACACTGTGGCATGAACATACATGGCTACTGTGGAGTCTATGAAAGCATGCTAAATGTTACAAAATCTGCCTTGCTCACAGGACAGGCTATCCTTTCTGAATTCGTGTGGGGTTTACATTACAACCAGCTAGCATAGATAGGATATCCAAAAGACAGCGTTTCTTCATATTCTGCCTCACCTTATTGATGCAAAATCTCAATAATTTTGCCCCACTACATTTCACTGAGGAAGGGGGACACAGAGACATGGGACACAAACAATATTCAACTTCTTGGCCTCTTACTTTCAAACAGTAGTATCCAATGATGCAGAAAAAGGAGATGACAGTGTGTAGGATAGCCAAGATCCGCAGCGTGGGCTCCATATACCCACTGCTTTCTTCAAGCACATAGTGCACCGTGATAATCCTATGAGAGCCACTTTCTAGGCTGTTTAATTTGGAGTTTTCACCAGCATGAACCACATGAACTTCCTTTTCTTCTGTCACGGAAGATGTGGAGACCTGTTCGAATCACTTAAAGTAAGTGGGACAAGTATTCATTTGACAGGTGTTTCACATTTTTAAAGGCTGGGTACCATAAATCAACAAAGTCAAACTAGGGGAGGCAAGAAGAGATTTGACTGTGAAGAAATCTCCACAAGGCATTCCATCCTCTCCATGGTATTGTACTGAGATGAACGTTTTGCCCTCCCTCACCACCCCAGTAAAGCTGCCACAAACTTGACTCTCTGCCTGGGATCCATTAGAGGCCAAAACCATCTTGATGGAAGCCCTATGCCTAGACTGTACCTCTGGCTGTGCTGCTTGGAATCTCTGGGCATGTCCACATGAGCACGGCTATGCAGTACGTGGAGCTGGAAACACGTTTGCAGTGCCACGCACTGCACCGCACTGCACTGCATGCTCTGGTGTTCTCTGTGCTGCAAAGGACATGCTGCCTAAGCATGCACTGCTCTGTTTTTTTCCCCCATGGTTTTTTTTGACACCCTGGATATCTTGGGGGGGGGGGG